TGCCCTTTGCGATGCTCCTTGCAAGGTTCGGGGTCTCTAAGGGAAAGCTCGGGCTCTTCCTCCTGGGAAGTGTGGGTTCCTTTTGGGGGAGCTCGGGGCTTCTCTTTGGGGAGTTCGGGTCCTTCCTGGGATACGCTTGTCAGTTCGGGCTTCATCCTTAGCGAGTTCTCTTGACATCGGGCTTCCCCTTGGTGAGCTCGGGTCTTCTTGGGACACGGTTGTTGCTGTGCTGAGCTGACGCTCCTGCCAAGTCACACCTGGTTACTTCCACGTGTCGTGCGACCAAGGGGTCGGGCCAAATCTCCCTCCATCAGAAGCCTTGAGGAGATTTAAATGACTAACCACAAATACAACTGTAAATTGTCAATGGGAAAGAAGACCGGCAAATAGGAGTCAGCTTTTTTGGGTTGTTTTGAGGCAACAACTTGCACCTCTTTGAGGGAAGCAATTTCTGTGTACTTCCTTATTGATCTTTACTAATTAATAAAATTCTATTATTTATCAAAAAAAATTAAAGAAGAAAATAGAGATGGCGAACTTCCATTACCTCCTTATTCCCATTCAGTATTCAATTGCACTGATCATGTGGACGCTTTTAATATTTCATCCTGGTATACATACTGTTATCTCAATAATGTTTGTATACTGGTGCCTTGTTCTGTGCCACGCTGAAATACAACTAAGGATTTTGTGTTGCTTCCTTGCCATTCTCAGCATTTCATCCTGTTCATGTTGCTTTTAGTTGGTGTCTAGTAATGTTGATCAAGGTTCTGCAACTATAGTTACTAGCTAGCCAGTGATTGTCTTTCAGTTAGGGCCCGTTGCTTGTTTAATGGTAAAATCTTGGACTGATAAGCATGAGAATGCAACTTAAAGTCTGAGCATGACCACTTAATGCTGAAATGCTGTAGATTAAGTCCTCCAGTCCACTCCTCCCAAGACCCTGGATAATGGGGACCGGCAGGCATTGGTTAATGGCCTTTTAATGGTTTTCCTTCAGTTGATTTATAACACTAGTTTGGTGAAAAAGTGATGCGATTCCAATAAGCAAATTTCGTGCTTGCTTGTTTTTCAATTGTTGTTTCAGTGGAATGAATAGTCCACACCAAGGTAGCCAATGTTAAATAACCATATGGAGTTGATTCAGAACCATGTATCCTTGCCCAGAGCTTTAATAAGTCTTGCACATTGGATTATTTCTTTCCATCATAGTTGTCAAGGCGACAAGGCGCCCTTGGAGGCTCGCCTCGCTTAATCACCAAGCAGTTTTCTATAGTGTGTTAGACAAAACTTTTATATTCTTAATTTTTTGAGGTTATAATTTTAAAATAGTTATTTTTAAACTAAAATATTCATTTTGTGTGTTTATATACTAATTTCTATTTATTATTTTCTTATTTGTTAGGGTTAAATCAACACAAACATTGCTAAATGTTGTATTGAACCCTGAAAGACTTCAAAACCTGAACCAATAAGTAAGGAAGAACTTAAAATGTTGTCTAACCAACACATTTACTTCTTTTTCTTAACTAATTTTGTGTGTCTATACTATATACCAATTTTCTTCTTCCACCTTTTCTTTTCTTCTTTTCCTATAACAGAAATAGGGGTTCAGCCCTTATATTTTTTGAAATTTCTTTTCTTTCTTATTTTTTTTCTCATGAATATGTTGGAATATGTTGATTTTCTATATTTAAACATGAAGTTTATACTTTTCTCATGAAAATTATGGATAATTATTAAGGAAATATGATTATGGAACCTAGGGAACTACCTTAGGATACATATTTTTACTTGAAAAATTCCATTGCCTAGGCGACTAGGCAACAAGGCGCCCCCTTGTTGCCTAGCCTCGCCTTGGTGCCTTGAAAACTATGCTTTCCACTTTAAAACATATTTTTTTGGTCTTTGATTTGATTTTTTAGAGCCTTCTACCTGCACCAAATTGCTCCTTGTGCAGTCCTTGGTAATCTTTTTTTTTTTTTTTTATATGTAGTCCTTTGTAATCTATGCACAGGATTAGACCATAAAAATCCATCTAAGTTGACTTTAACCATATCATGCCATTAATTGGAGCAACTTTTCTATACTATTCTCATTTCTGATTTTTGTCTTTTCTACTCTTGCCACTTATCCATCTCAACCTCCTCATTTCAGTTAGACTCATTTTTTGAATTTGTTGTTTCTTGATTGTTCAATATTTTATAAATTATAGCAAGGCTTGCCTTATAACTTACTATAAAACTTTCCTTTAGTCTCATTGGTATATGTGGGTCATATAGCATACCACTTTCGACTTTAACCACCTTACTCTGATTCTTTGGACAAAGTCTTCTTTAATGTCCTTTCTCAAAAAAAAAAAAAAACTTCTTTAACGTCTGTCTTATTATGAATGATCCAAGGCATCAAAAGTAGTTAATTTGGGTTGTTTTCATGATCATCAACCTAATTGCACCACCATTTTTACTAATAAGTTTTACTAAAATTGCAAGACATGTATTCTGTCTTTGTCCGACTTATCTTGAAACCTTTGATTTTAAGGCATTTCTTTATTATTCTAGCTTTGCGTTCAACCCGCCTTTAGTTTTATCAGTTGATGCTATATTTTCAGTAAAAATGTACACCATCTTTAGTTTTGTTAGTTATTACATTGTGGAAGCTTTAATACAGTGCCTTATCTTACAGTGATTTATGAGATATATTTATATGGTCATTTGGCAGTTCTCTTTGCTGTGGAGAAATCACCAGTTAAATTTTTTATTGGAGAATTGTATTTTGGAAATTCTTTGCATAGCACAACAACCATTGGAAATGAAAAAGAGCGAGAAAGAGTCTATGATACTATCTTCCGTTTGCCATGGAGATGTGAACTGGTAAACTTTGCTCCTCTTATGGTTTTTTATAGAAAATTTGGTTGATTGCTTTTAAGTTGTTTCTGTGCTAGCTACCTCCCTTTTTCACTTGTATTTACACTTATATTCCTATTTAACAGTTATTATTGGTAAAAAAGGGTATTAGTGTATTGATTATATAGAAGTTAAGCTCCCTTCTGCTCAAGTGATGCAAATGTTGTTTATTTTATTTACATTGAGAATGGAATTTGTGCCTTATTTTTGTTTGATTAAACTGGGAAATGTTCTTGCAGTTAGCTAAGGCTTATTACCTAAATTATCTGCTCACAAATGTGCATCAATTGTGTGTTTCTGTTGCATTTTTCTTATGTCCAGATTTTCTGGAGTAATTTGGAGGTGCTGACAGTTTTTTCTTGCTTCCAATCTTACTTTTTTTTTTTTTTTATCAGCAACCCAAAAATTGATTCATTAAAATAGAAAGGAGAGATACAACAAGAAGTTGTGAAAAGAAACAACAAACCCAAGAAAATAAACCATCCCAATAGTTACAAATAAGCCCTGAACATGGATTGTCTCTGAAGTCCTTTTTGGTACCAGAAGGTGCTTATGCAGACACCTAATTTAGTTTGATTTTTATAATTAATTATTGCGGTTTAGTTAATTTAGATTGATGTTAATAATTCCATTTCCATTATCTAAATTGAATGACTTGAAAAGGGTATTTTCAATAAAAGGGCTATTACCCTATGTTGGTTTTGACTATCTGGGATATTGGGAGGGGTATGTTTGATATGGACCTGAAGGGGCCTTTTGCCCCCTAGCCAGGTTTAATTAGTACCCAACTGGGTTGTTGCTTGTTTTATTTCAATGAATGATAGATCAAATGATTTATTTGGTTTGAGATATTATAGGTGGTGATTTAATGGAGGTCTTCTTGGAATTCTTTGAGAGAGGTAAGATAAATTTGGGTGCCAATGCTACTTTCATAGCTTTGATTCCTAAAAAGATAAATGCAAACCACCCAAAGGATTTTAGGCCCATAAGCCTAATTGGGAGTATGTATAAGGTAATATCAAAGGTC